CACATAATAAACAAACAAAATAAATACATATATTGTGTCCATATTTAAAAAAAAAATCTTTAAAAATAGAATGGCATAAAATTAAATAGCCTCTGCATAACAAAAGAAACAAGAATGTGAAAAGAGAACCTACAGAATGGGAGAAAATCTTTGCTAGCTACTCTTCTGACAGAATATATAAAGAAATAAAAAAAACTACTGAAGGACACCTAGGTTGGTTCCACAGTCTAGCTGTTTTGAATTGTGCTGCTATAAACATTGATGTGGCTGTGTCCCTGTAGTATGCTCTTTTTAGGTCTTTTGGGTATAGTCCGAGAAGGGGAATAGTTGGGTCAAATGGTGATTCCATTCCCAGCTTTCCAAGGAATCTCCATACTGCTTTCCAAATTGGCTGCACCAATTTGCAGTCCTACCAGCAATGTATGAGTGTACCTTCCCCCCACCCACATCCTTGCTAGCACTTATTGTTGTTTGTGCTGCCATTATTATTGGAGTGAGATGGTATCTTAGAGTAGTTTTAATTTGCATTTCTCTGATTGCTAGAGTTGGTGAGCATTTTTTCATGTATTTGTTGATTGATTGTAAAATCTCTTCTGAGAAGTGTCTGTTCAGGTCCTTGGCCCATTTGTTGATTGGGTTGTTTATTTTTTGTTGTTTAACTTTTTGAGTTCTTTGTATACTCTAGAGATTAGAGCTCTATCTGAAATGTGAGGGGTAAAAATTTGTTCCCAGGATGTAGGGTCTCTATTCACCTCACATATTATTTCTCTTGCTGAGAAAAAACTTTTTAGTTTGAATTCATCCCATTTGTTGATTCTTGGTTTTAACTCTTGTTCTATAGGTGTATTATTAAGGAATTTGGGGCCTGCCCCCACGTGATGGAGATTAGGGCCAACTTTTTCTTCTATTAGATGCAGTCTCTGGTTCCATTCCTAGTTCCTTGATCCATTTTGAGTTAACTTTTGTGCATGGTGAGAGAAAGGGATTCAATTTTATTTTGTTGCATATGGATTTCCAGTTCTCCCAGCACCATTTGTTGAAGATGCTCTCCTTTCACCATTGCATGTTTTTAGCACCTTTGTCTAATATAAAGTAGTTGTAATTTTGTGGATTGGTCTCTGTGTCCTCTATTCTGTACCATTGGTCTACCAGCCTGTTTTGGTGCCAGTACCATGCTGTTTTTGTTACTATTGCTCTGTAGTATAGTTTAAAATCTGGTATTGCGATACCAAGATGCCCTTCAATAAATGAATGGATTAAAAAAACGTGGCATTTATACATAGTGGAATATTACTCAGCACTAAAAAATAACAAGATCATGGCATTTGCAGGGAAATGGATGGCATTAGAGCAGATTATGCTAAGTTAAGTTAGCCAATCCCTAAAAAACAATTGCCGGATGTCTTCTATGATATAAAGGGGGTGACTCAAAATGGGATAGGGAGGAAGATCATGAGAAGAAGATTACCACTAAATAGGGAATAGAGGTGGGAGGGATAAGGTGGGAGAAGGGGAATTACATGGAAGATGGAAGGAGACCCTCATCATTATACAGAATACATGTATGATGTTGTGAGGAGAGAAAAAAAAAAGAAGTGTGTCACATTAGATTGGGTAGAGAGATGTGATGGGAGGGGAGGGCAGCAGAATAAAATAGACATTATTATGGCTGTATGTGTATAGGTGACTGTATGACCAATGTGATTCTGCAACTTGTACAATCAGAAAAACGAGAAATTATACCCCATTTGATTCAAATGTATGAATTGTCAAGATCATTGTACTGTCATGTGTAACTAATAAAAAAAGAAATAAAACAACTACCAGAAGAACAAATGGTCCAGTTAATAAATGGGAAAATAAACTGAAGAGTCACTTTTCAAAAAAAGAAATACAAATGGCCAATCAATAGTTGAAAAAATGTTCAACATCTTTAGCAATTAGGGAAATGCAGATCAAAACTGTGCTGAGATTTCACCTCACTGCAGTTAGATTGGCAGCCATCAAGAATACAGACAATAATAAAAACTGGAGAGGATGTGGAGAAAAAGGAACATTTCTACATTGTTGGTGGGAGTGTACAAATACAACCACTATGGAAATTAGTATGGGGGCTCCTCAAAAGACCACGAATGTAATCTCTAGCTATACCACTCCTCAATATTTATCCTAAAGAATTAGTCATCATACCATAGTGACATATGCATGCCCAGCTTTATTTTTTTTCCATGCCCATCTTTATTAGCACAATTCATAATAGACAAACTTACAATTATTTAGCCTAGGTGTCTGCCAATGTAAGAATGGATAAAGAAAATGTGGCATATATACACAATGGAATTTTATTCAGCCATAAAAAGAATGAAATTATATCATTTGCAGAATAATGGATGGAACTTAAGAGCATTAGTCAAGTAAAAATGCCAAACTCAGGATATGAGGGGCATATGTTTTTTCTCATATGTGTAAACTAGAGAGGAAAAAGGAAAAGAAAGGTGGGAATGAGGATCTCCCAAAATTTGAAAAGAAACCAAAAGAATAGGACCAGGAGGAGGAAGGAAGATGAAGAAGGGGAAATACTGGGGATTGATATTGACTAGTTACATTTTATATTGTGTGCATATATAAATAGGTAATAGTGAATTCCACTATTATGTATGATTATAATGCACCAATAAAAATATGGGAAAGAAGAACTTTATCTCACTAATTCTTGCTGAGCTTTCTAATTCCTAGTTAGGATTTCCTGTGATTCTTCCATGATTTCCAAATCTAGACCAAAAAATATGGTTGAGAGGGGTAAATGGTACATTCCAGGTATAATTTGTCCCCAAATAAGGACTGATCTGGAGCTAAAAGAAATACAACTTTCTGCCTGTTTGGAGGGTATTTTTGGCATAGTTGCAAATATGTGATATTTATCTTGACACGAGGTTAATTATTTTTAGTAGTAATAAATGAAATGTATTTTAAAAATGTATCTCTCCATTATTAAAAATATACATATACTATACATGCTTCATTCCATTTGTGCCAGGGGGAGTGCTTGAACAGAGAAGAAAGCTTTCTCTGATCCCTTCCTGTCAGCCATGGTAATTGAAGCCATACATTTCTAGTCAATAATTTTCTTACTCTGATCTCTCCCTACAAATCTTGTAAATTCTTTAAGTTTCAACCTTTATGCTACATTATCCAGATAGCTTTGGTGAGGATGCTGAGCAGGGTTTCAGTAAGAGGCATTGTCTTGTTAAAGCAACAAAAGAAAGAACCTTTGGAGTGACACAGACGTGGCATCAAGTTCAAAATCTGCCACTTCCTTCATTACCCTTGGATTTTCTACAATTTCCTCTGCTACAGGAAAATGGAGGTAAAAAAAGTGTCTACCTTTTACTTGACTCTTGTGAGGATTAAATATGGTAAGGCATATAAAGTTCTACAACAGTTCCTGACACATTTATTGAATATTGTCATTGTTATTTTTCTACATAGTAAATCCCTTATAAAGAATTTCCTGAATAGGCACTTGGTGAACTGAAAAAGTACAACTCTAGTGAAAGAGAAAAACAAGTTATGAGAAAAAAAAATGTAAATTATTATGTAATGTGGAAAAAAAAAGAATTACATGGGGATCTATTTTGCGTTAGGATTGTCGGGAAGGAGTCTCTGAGGAGACGACATATAAAATGAGACTTCAGAGGAAAAGCCAGCCACACAGAGGGAACAGAAAATCTCAGGTGGAAGGAAGAGCATACACAAAGATCCTGAGGTAGACATGCATAGGAACTGTCACAGGACTGAAAAGCCACTAGTGTGTTGGGTCAGAATAAATAAGGACAGAGTGGCACAAATGAGATCAGAAAGCAACAGAGACCAAACACAAAATACCAGAGTAGAGAATTCAGCTTTTGGTCTAAGTGCAAAGCAAGGAAGACACTGTGGGGTTTTAGGCAAGGGAATACCAAGATCTTTAGACTTAATCCATGACTCACAAAAACAAATTGAAGAAGGCTAAGAATTTCTGAAAACATTTGGAATTCGTTCTTTAGATAAACTGAAAGTATAAATATAGACTAAAAGTATAAATATAGATACAAATATTTCCCATTATGACTGAAGTTACCAATAAACCCCAAATCCTTTTGGTAATATTTAACAAAGATTTCATCTACTTTTCTTTCTTTCACACCAGTCATGAATCCTCAATGGACAGTGCGACCCACTTAAAACAAAGGACAGACAAGAGGGCAGGAAGATTTAGAGTAACGGAGAAAGATGGCCATAGTCAGTGCCAGCAGAATGGAAGCATAAATGTCTGGGCTGTGAACACCAGATAGATTTCTCAACAGAGAGGAGCAGGATGAAATTGGTGAGACACTGTAGCACAATACTGGACATCCTGTCACAAGTAACAGAAATTTAAAGAATGTTTAAATTTATATATCAGACAATTATCCTTACAAGTCAGGTACCCTTGGGATAGGCAGGCTTCTTCCTGTAAAGCGGGGTTTAATCTCCTCTTTTGAAGCTGCTACAATCTCATTATATTTTTCTTTTTATTTTAACCTACTTCATATTAGTGAATCGCTTAGCACTAATTAACACCACAGCTGTTAATGTAATGAAGTGTTTTTATTTTCACATGACATAATGAACAATTAAAACTATTTTTCTCTCTTAAACAAGTACATTTATTCCCCAAAGAAAAGTCTATGGGGGAAACAGTAGCACGTTTAGACCTCCATTACCTCTCACTCACAGCAGATTAAGAGTGTACATAAAATAGCCAAGCTCCCCAAAATATGTCAGTATTTTTGTGTGTGTGTGTGTGTATGTGTGTTTTGAAGACAAAATTATAGTACTAGAACAGTTTTGGAATTAATTTCATTTTTTTTCTCAAAAGATAAAAGTTTATTAAACATCAGCTATGAACTCGGTTGCAACTAATTATCTTTCATTTCACACAGGTGATAGTAATGAGAGCAAAAATGATGAATACCTACTGTTGCCAGGTAACTGCATCCACCGTGCTTCCTGCCACTTTCATGAATCTGTAAAGAATAGAGAAAAAGAGGATAGTGTAACATAAAGTAAACCACATCCGCAAGGTTAAAATAGGATAAACCAAGACATAGATTAGATCAATTCCTGAGCAGCTATGCTCTCTGAAGAGACCCACAGTCATAATTATGGCCTAACCATTGCTATTAAAGGCCCAAATAAAGAAGGTTAAGGCTAGGCTCCCCACACATCCCTCACCATCTACAAATCAAGACTTCAATATACCATTCTACCTGTGTCGACCTTCCCATGTCCAAGCCTGCTGGCTCTCACATTGATTTTCCTTTAATCAAAACTTATCTATACCATTTCCAATTCTCTAAGGACTCTTATAGTTTGCTAGAAAACAAATAAATAGTAACATTTCCCAAGGATAACATCACAATAGATGCCCTTGAAAAACTGATGAAGAAAGCATGGGAAACCCCAATTTATTTATGTAACTATAAGGCACTATCAAATATACCACCATGAAGGACTGCCACACTTGTTTGAGTGTAGAAACTTGAACCAACCAAGAGAACTTATCCACTTCTGGAGCAGCTATGAAGAGCACTGAGTGTCCTCTGATGAGCATGCTCAGCTCAAAAGGAAACCCAGACCTGGTTCTGTGCATCTGAGCACACAGAAAAGTCTTGTTAGGAATTCCTCAGTGTCCTGTGTACTTGGTGGTGGAAGGAAGGCCAGGAGGATGCATCTGGGACTCCCAGATGCTACAGAGTATTATAAATCACATGTCTGTGAATAACTCAATTATCTGCCTATCCTTCTCTGGTCCACATGTTCTGAGGCCATGTGCTGTCATGGCTATTATTACTCTTTGAGACAGTTACTACCCAGGCACAGGAAATCAAAGGAACATTTTAATTCCTTGGCCCTGAGGCCCTAGAGAAGAGCTTTTCTTCAAAGGAAATAATCTTTAATAGTACCTCATAACCAAAGGACTCTTCCACCATGGAAGGACATTGTGTTTTGTCTGGAAGTCCCTATTGCTACCCTAACCCAGCATAATCTTGCCAGGCAGTTGCCTGGGCAAAGGGGTTGTTACTGTGTCACTYTCCAGGCTCTGCTTTGCTATGCTGGTGGAAAGGAATGAATCTCTGTGTAGTATAAGCAGAGAAGGCATAAGGACTAGATACCTGGACTTTCAGTTAGCAACAAAGTAAAGTTTATAAAAGTAGGGGAAGAAGAGGGGGGTTGGGAAGGGAGGAGTAGTAGGAGGACAGAGAAGAGGAGGAGCAAKAGTCAGCTACCATGAAGGCCCTGGCTGGGCTCTGTTCTGCATGGGGGTTTTGCTTTTTTCTCCAGGATCACTCTGCAGTCCAAGAATGAGAATGTGGGAAATAATAGAGCATGAAAATGATCCAGGAATGGAATTGGTGTAGTGGACAGGACTAAAATGTCAATGTGGGTTGGTGGGAATACAACACTTACTGAGTATCTAGTTAGGATCACCCATTTGTATGAGTTATTCCTTATGTTTCTCAAAATTGCTTTGCTTGGCGATGTGGGTATTATCCCATTATATAGATGACTAGCTTCCTTACAAGCTTCCAGACACCCCACAGGGCAAGTTTTTATGGGGTCATGCCACCCCTCCTAGCAGCACTTCTTGGGAAGCAGGGGCATTACTTTGTAACCTATGGACTTCTCTTTCTTTTCACCTCATCTCCTCTTCCCCAGCTCAGAAAAATCTCTTTTTAGTTTGGAAGAGTAGTTCCACTCTCTTCACTACTTCTGCCCCTACACTTAGGAATTAAACAGCCAGACATGCTTGTGAACTTTGTCTTTTCCATCCTGCCATGTGCTATTCTGAATCACTAAGTACACAATAAATACCTGCTGGAAAAAGAGAGAGGAAATAGAAAAAAGGAATTGGGAGAAAGAAAAAAAATCTGTATTCAAAACATTATCCCTGTCACACATTCACTCTAAGCAGTGGAAACCCAATAGTGCTCTTAGAATAGATTAGCTAGAAACAAAGAGAGGAAGATGAGATTTTGTACCTCGTCCCAGGATATTATAAAAGTTAGAAAACCTAGATGATCTTAGATGGAAGTATCATTTTGAAAAACAAATAGAAATTTCAATATATACATAAATTTACATGAGATTTACTCTTCTAAAATGATTTGTCAAATCTCTGAAATAGAAATATTTTATTAAAAACTGTCTTTGTATTCATATAAAATAACCAGAGTGAAAATAGATGCATTTTCATTATGATATTAATAGATCTTACTCATTATAAATTTTTTTCACCTTCTTATATGTATAATTTCAACAAAAACCCATTTTTTTTTCACAAAAACCCATTAGGAAGGTATTCCTGTTTTATAGTGGAGGAAACTGAGTCTCATATAGGTTATCTGACATGCTCAATTCATAGAGCTAGTGTAGACTAAACCTAGGTTCTGATTCCAAATCCTCCCTACTTTCTAGCATCCTATGCTACCTCAGTTGTATTCACTGAGGCTAAGAAGAATAGTACAATTCTAAAATGCAAAAAAAGAAGTTGATTTTTGTCTTGAGGAAACATGGTAATATCAGAAAAAGATAAATGGTCTGATTATTTTCTTCACTTGTTGGCCTTTTCTTACAGACTTGAGCACTACAGTGCTTATTTTAAGGCAGTATGCTGCATGCAACTATCAAAAGATGATTGACTCAGGGCCCCTGGTATAAGACAACCACAATGAAGCCCAAGAAACAGACATGTAGACACTTGGCTATCAAAGTTTCTGTGTGCTGTACTGCTGGAACAAACTAACAGCTGTGGGATCAGTCAAGAGAGCAGTTAGTACTGTGGTATTAGAAAATGGGATACAGATTGAGAAAAGCTTCATATATATGGTATTGAATTTGACATTGAAAGGAGGATTTTGCCATGAAGAGAAGCCCAGTCAAAGAACAGAATAAACTGGGTGCACTGGCCCACGCCTGCAATCGCAATGGCTCCGGAGGCTGCGGTGGAAGGATCCAGAGTTCAAAGTCTGCTTCAGCAAAAGTGAGGTGCTAAATAATTAAAGTGAGGTGTTAAATAATTCAGTGAGAACTTGTCTCTGAATAAAATACTAAATAGAGGATGTGGCTTAATGGTCCCGTGATCCTGAGTTCAAACTCCAGATCCCCACCCCCCCACACACACCAAAAAAAAAAAAAAAAAAGAACAGCATGAACAAAGCAGAGAGAGTCAGATGAACCATGTTCTCAGGGTCCAGAGTGAATGGATGTCAGGGAATAGGTAGAGAATGGCAAAAGTTCAGGCTGATCAGGCCTCTAGAAGTTGGGCTATAGTGCTAATGGTTTTGGATTTTATCCATTAATCACAAGATGCAAGTCCAAGTTCTATTTCTCTTTGTATGATTAGCATCCATATGTTTATAACATAACCAAAGTAGTATCAGGATCAAATTTGGGTTTTAGAAAGATCACTCTGGCAAAAGTAAGATGAAAGGAACTAGTGTAGATAAACTGACAAGAGATTACTGCGGAGAGATGGGAGGCTTTGAAATGTAGGGAACAACACACACACAAATTGACAATTGAAAAACATGTTGGTGTGCTAAAGAAAGAGATGACATTCAAGTTCTAATGGCAGCAGTGCAACTGCCCAACATGGGGGATCCAGAGAGGACTTCTGATGCTGTTTTTGGTGAATATATTCTATCCTCTCTAGCATGCCTCAAAGAACGTGAAGTAAATAGCCATTGATAGTAACAGCTATGTATTCACAAGAAAATTAGGACAGAAAAATCATTCATGTCCTGCTTGGCTAAAAGGCTGTGGATTGGCAATTAAGAATGCTTCTAATTTGGCATGCTGGAAATTGGAAACTAGTTCCTCATGAGAGTATTATTTGGAGATCCTCATATTCATCAGATGGTTTGTTCAGCTCTAGATGTTAACCAAGTTCATAAATAACCTTCTATTTAAAAATAACAGAAAACAAATGGGAAAAATATCATATTAGTGACATTTAAAGTAATGTTGATTATTTCTCTTTATACCCATACCTTACATGCCTTGAAGAAAACTTTTATGGAAAATCTACAACATCTATAAATTAATATGAAATATTTGACTCATAAATAGAATACTAAGTAGTTTGTAGAGAAATGTTTTAAATTAAATACAGGGGAAGGTCTACCATGGTCCTGAAAAGAAAAGTAATTATTATTATTCCTAAATTATAGGCTTAATGAAATTATAATAAAAAAAWATATATATATATATATATTAATTATTATTTTTTTGGTACTTGGAATTGAACCCAGGAGGGCTTAACCACTAAGCAACATTGACAGCCCTTTTTATGTCTTATTTTGATATAGGGTCTCACAAAGTTGCTTAGCGCCTCACCAAGTTGCCGAGACTTGCTTCAAACTTGTGATTCTCTTGCCCCAGCCTCCCAAGTTGCTAGGATTACAGGCATGTACCGCCATGCCTGGCCTCAGCAGATCTTTTTGATACTTTACAAAATCATCCCAATCTTCCTATGGAAAAAAACCGAGAAAATTCAGAAAAACTAAAATAATGAAGGGATATTTATTTACTCCATCATTTATTAAAATATGCTATAAAAGTTGTAAAGATTAAAACATTTTATTTTAGTAATTAGTAAGGAAATCTGTGGAACAGAGTAGATTTTTAAGAAATTATATTTAAGAATTTATTGCATGAAAAGGAATTCAGTATATAAAAACCTGAGGCATTTTTTAATGGTACCATGTGATTTGTTGTTGTTTATTTAGAAAAGAAATTAAAGTCATGTCCTCACATAGTTTTAAAAATATTTTAATTGCAAAAATATTTACTAATTTAAAACTAATATGTTATATTAGTTTTTAAATTTCAGTAGTAAATTGAAGCAGTAAAAAAGTTGTTTCAGCTAACTTTGAGGAAACATCATTATTAATTATGTGTTCATGTGAAAATTGTTATAAACTATATTCTTCCTTTTCTTTTTTAGCAAAATGATGAGACCAAA